CTATATATAATAGTCTAGTTTATGATATTGATTATAAATATATATATTGTATATATATATTATTTAAAATAAACTAACAGTAGTTGTTTTATCACACCAACGCAAATATGACTTATAGATAGTATTACCATTTGTACAGATAGTGCCATCAATTTGTGATTTCCATTGTTCATCAATTAACCACTTGTTTTCACAATTATTACAATCAATTTTGGCCACAATTTTGTTTTGCTTGGATTGTTTCAAAAGTATAGTAAAAATCTTATCATCCAATATAGGATGAGTATATGTTATAACATTTATATGATTTTCATATAATATAGTAACCGATCGTTGAATATTGTCAAAACATTTCACATCAATATTTGGTTGATTGAAATTTTTATTAAAACTAAATTCAATAGTAGTTTCATGATTGGCTGGACCCAGGGCAAATGCACGGGCATATACTTTATTAAAACTACAGGTGCGCATCGATAAAAATTGTAAAGCATCTAACCGTTTGAATGCATTTTCATTGATTGTTTGAATGTCACAATTTTCAAAGTAAACATTTGTAAGTTTTGGTAAATTTCCGAAAACATTTTCCGATAAATTCAATTGTTTGGCGTCATATATGTACAGTGTTTCCAATGATTGCAAATTATTAATAATCGATGATTTAATTTCATCGACTGTTATATCATTCAAAACTAATTTTAATTGTTTTACTGAATCTTGTTGTCCATCAAATACATTTGGATCAATACGATTAGTACTATTATCTGTAAAATTGATTCCAACTAAATTAACTTGCTCAAATTTTAGACCACTAAACAATTTTTCAGGTAATCTTAGTAGTTTAACATTGATTAGTGAAAAACTTGTGAAAAAATGTTTATCACCATCACCAATTTTGCTGTCAATATTAGAAAACATTATTTTCAAATCAGGTATTTCCTCATAATTAAATTTACATGTAATATTTTTACTTAGATTATCACATGAGCATGGTTCAATATCGTAAATATCGGGACAATTTGCAAACATCAAACCGTATTGAAATAATAATGTAATAAAAATTATTATGAATAACATAATGAATTTCTATAAAAACAAAAACAAAAAAAAAATAGAAACAATTCTAATATTATTAAAAATATATTTACGAATAATTTAAAAATAACAATAAATAATACTTACATTACAATTACTGTATTAAGTTTTTTGTATAATATAAAAACAATAAGTTAGTCAAATTAGTAAATTTAGTAAAAATTTAATAAATATCACAATAACGTTATTTTTTAAATTGCTGACTAAATTATATTTGAAAATATTTGTACATTAGTTTATATATAAAATTTATATCAATATATATAATATATATAAATATATATAATTTTGTTAACATTATATATGATTGATAAGTCAGTTAATAAATATATTACATACTGTAGATTATGATTCATTTATTGAATCAACAAAAAAAATACTTTATTTATAATTTTGTTATTAATAATACTTGAGTTAATGATTTATTTTAATTAAATGACATTTTTATATTTAAGGGGTGGTTCACATATTATGTTCGCACTTTTTAAGAAATCTAGACCCCCTCCCTCCCCTATGTTCGCAATTGTTAGCATGTAGTCATTTAATAAAATTACGTTAGCATGTGCCTAACCGCTACCCCCCCCACAATAAATAAAATATCTAAATGCAAACGTTCTTAAAGTCTCTACCCCTCCTCTCCCTCTCGTTCGCAAAAGTTCGCTTTGGCTAAACCCCTCCTCCCCTCAAGAGCTAACGTAATATGTGAACCACACCTAATTTGAAATTGAACATTTAATCTTTTTTAATTTCCTTTAATTTCCTTTTAGAGAGATTAAAAGTATTTCATAAAATATTTATTACAAAAAAAATTTCCTAATTAAGTGTTTTTCTTTTAAATAGATAATTTATTAGTAAAGATATTTATTGAAATTATATTAATGATAAATTTTTATTACTTTATACTTATAATTGATTAATATTTGTCTTTAATATTTAGTGATTAAAATAGTAGAAATTAAATTACATATATATATACAGGTATTAATACAAATATATATTCTATTAAGTTATATATATATATATATATATAGAAATATAATAATATTACTTAATATCTATAAACACTTAATAAATTTTATCAATAAAATATTATTAAATGTATTTCATTAGAATAATTAAATATAGTATTAGATTCTTGAATAAATTCTAATTTTTCTATTCAATTATTTATTTATTTTTGAATTAAATTTTAACAATTAAATAAAAATTATAGATTTATTATTAATTTTTAATGTAAAAATATGGTAAATAAAATTTCTATATAAAATACTATAATAGTTGTATTTATATTTGTAAAAACTATAATAACATTTATTATCAATTTATTTTTTATATTTTATTATTTAAGTCCATATCTGTCAAAATGTCAAAACATTTATCATCAATATTTGGTTGATTGAAATTTATTTATTACATTTTTAAGTTTTTTGTTGTTGGTAAATTTCCGAAAACATTTTCTGATTCAATACATTTGTTTGGCATCATATATATATATATATATATATATATACCGAGTTTCCTGCATTTGATTGCAAATTATATTGATTGTTAATTTAATTTCATCAACTGTTATATAAATTTTTCAAAAATAATATATAACAGTTGATGAAATTAAATCAACAATTAATTTAATTGTTGTCCATCAAATATTTTTTCGGATCAATATTATCAATGAATGTGATTCCAACCCCTAAATTAACTTGCTCAAATTTTTTCACTACAACTAAACTAAATTTCTTCTAGATAATTTAAACATTGATTAGTAAAAAAACTATTAAAAAAACAAAATGTTTATCACCATCCAACAATTTTCAATTGTCAATATTAGCAAACATGGTTTCCAAATCTGGTATTTCATCATTGTTAAGTTTGCATGTAATAATTTTACTATTATTATCAAAATGAGCATTGTTGAATATAGTCAATATTGGGGATAATTTTCGATTAAACATTAAAACCGTATTGAAATAATAATGAAATAAAAAATTATAATCAATAACATCATAACATTTTTATAAAAACAAAAAATTAGACATAATTATAATATTAGTAAAATATTTACGCATAATTTTTTTATTAATAATAATAAATAATACTTACATTACAATTATTGTATTAAGTTTTTTTTATAATAAGTTAGTCAAAAGTCAAATTAGTAAATTTAATAAATATCGTTTAAAAAAAATTTATTGACTAAATTATATTTGTACATTAGTTTATATATAAAATTTATATCAATATATATATATATAATTTTGTTAACATTATATATGATTGATAAATCAGTTATTAAAAATATATTACACACACATTATGATTTATTTATTGGATCATCAAAAAATAAATAAATAATACTTTATCTATAATTTTGTTATTAATGGTTTATTTTAATTAAATGACAATCTTTTCTATTTATTTTAATTTCCATTTCGAGAGATTAAAATGTATTTCATAAAATATTTATTACAAAAATTTTTTTTAACTTAAGTGCTTTTCTTTTAAATAAATAATTTATATAATATAAAATTTATTAGTAAAGATATTTAATTGAAATTATATTAACGATAACTTTTTATAACTTATACTTATAATTGATTAATATTAGATTAAAATAGTAGAAATTACATATATATATATATATATATTAATACAAATATATATTATTAAAAATTAAATTAATAATTAGTTTTAAAATTTGATTATTATGCAGTATTTTTGATATTTAAATTATAAAATAAACATTTTTTTTGTTAAAAAATATAGATATTTTAATGTTAATGTTTGAAAGTCTTGTATTTGTATAAAGTCTAGAATAACTTAAAGTAAAAAAATAAATATTATTTAGTTTAGTAAAACATTAAATAATAAAATTTATAAATGTCTAATTTAATTAGTTAATTGTTAAAATTTTATTAATAAATAAATAAATAATTGAATAGAAAAATTAGAATTTATCAAGAATCTAATACTATATATATTATTATTATTCTAATGAAATACATTTGATAATATTTTATTGATATAATAATATATTAAGTGTTTTTTAGATATTAAGTAATATTATTATATTTCTATATATATATATAACTTAGTAGACTATATATTTGTATTAATACGTATATATACAGTATAAGTAATTTCTACTATTTTAATAACTAATTATTAAAGACAAATATTAATCAATTATATGTATAATTTATAAAAGTTATCAACTAATATAATTTCAATGAATATCTATACTAATAAATTTATATAAAAAAAACACTTTAAATAAATTTTTTTGTAATAAATATTTTATGAAATACTTTTAATCTCTCTAAATGGAAATTAAAATAAATAGAAATGATAGAAATGTTGTGTATTTTATTTTAAGTAATTTAAAAAGTTTAATTTAATTTTAATGTTTATAAAATTTTTTATAAATAAAAAAAACTAAAATATATTTTTAAATGAGAAAAATTATGATTGAATTTTTACACAATTCACAACAAATTAATCAACAAAAAATAATTAATAAATACAATATTTAAATTTTCTATAATAATACTATAATTAAATTAATATTAACATATTATTAAACAAAAAAATGTGTATCATATTGTTCAACAAATATATATTATATTATATAATACTATATATATATATATATATATATATCATAAATTTAACACTAATATTATATTACTAAAAATTATATACTAAAGTAATATAATATTTTTAATTTTTAACATATATTTTGTTAATTATGTTTATTTCTCCAAATAAAATTTACTAATAATTATTTATTATTAAAATTAATAGTTACTAAATAAAAATATTTTTTTTTGAATTGTTATTTAACAATAATAAATATTATGAAACTAATTATTATTTTTGTAAACATTTATTTAGTGTTTATTGGATTTATGTTAATAAACATTATTAAATGCGGTAATCATTATATAATAATTACTATTTAAAAATAATTATAATTAAATGTTAATAAAAATGTTTTTTTATTATTATTACAAATAAACAAAATAAAGATAAATATTATGTGAAAGAGTGTCAAAACAGTTGGTCAAACTATAGGGGCTTGAAATGTGTTAAACTAGTAGCCGATCGTAACTATACCTATACGGAGGCCCGGGATGTATGCCAGTCGCTAAACTCGACCCTACTGTCAATCGATTCGGAAACCCAGAACCTGTACGTTACGTCACTGTTAGGCCAATTGAGCCCAAACACTGACCATCACTACACAAACGGTCTGTACATAGGACTGCACCGACAGCTGAGAAACGGTAGTTCTGTACACGAGTTTGAATGGACAGATGATAAGGATCAGCCACTGGTCTATACTAACTGGGCTAAGGGTGAGCCCAGTGATTGGTTGGAGCCGTTAGAGCCGTGTGTCGAGATGTATTCAGTTAAGGTCAGTGCCGGCAAATGGAATGACATACAGTGCACAGGTAGACGATATGCTATATGTCAACAGTGGTTGTTGTTAAGTAATGACACTACAAGTCAAGCCATAGACAACTACTATACCGGTGCCAGCTTTCAACTGTGCGAACACTTGGATTATGTACGCTATCGTAACAATTGCTATAAAGCCTACGATGATGAGCACCGACAGCCTGGACTGGACTGGACGGCAGCCAATCAACAGTGTAAGGCTGACCATAAAAACGGTAGTCTATTGTGGTTTGAGGATAGCTATGAGTATGCGTTTGTCAAATACTGGACTCAATTGCAGATGAAATCAATCGAGTTTTGGATCGGACTGTCAGCTAATAATAATACCGACAGTGTTAGGAAACTGACTATCCCTTTCCTCATAAAATACATACACACACACACATACACACACATACACACACATACACAAACATACACACACATACACACACATACACACACATACACACACATACACACACATACACACACATACACACACATACATAAACACACATACATACACACACATACATACACATACATACACACACACACACACACACACACACACACACACACATACACACACACATACAAACACATACACACACACACACACACATAAATACACACACATACATAGAAAATCTTAAACCTACCCGTCCTTTAACTAACACTATAAGCAATATTGTATTATCTTTTTGTTGTTGTTGTTTAGGTTCCGTACGAATGGATCAACGATTATCCGCCGTATGTCCGCCGATGGGCACCAAATGAACCCCAATATCAGTCACACGTTCACCGACAGTGTGTACTACAGAACCGGCTAACTGGGCTCTGGCGCAGTGATGCCTACTGTGACGATCGTCGGGCATTTGTATGCAAAGTTAGCGAACCATTAGCCAAACAATCAAACAATACGATATATTCGTTGGCCGTTTGTCCCGAGTTTGTCAACTCTAGCTCAGGTAGTAGTATACCCAGCACTGACACCACCGCAGCAACTAACAGATGGATCAATTTGCACCGTCAGTCGCCCTACTGTTACTGGTTTAGCGATCAGCTAACTATGGACTGGTATTACTAAACTAATCAATAAAAATGTATTTTTTATAAACTAATACTACCTGTGCTTTTGACGCACACACACACACACACCTGTAGGCCGGAAGCATCGAAACATTGCCGTCAACGACGGGGCGGTCGACTAGTATCTGTCCATTCGCGTCACGAATCGGAACTCCTGCGACCATTTGTCCAGCGCTACGATCGGGAACTATGGATCGGTTTGACACTATCGCCATCGAATCTATCGCAATGGGAGGACGGCCGGCTGGTAACCGGGTTCTCGAATTGGGCACCGGGCGAACCTAACAATCCCAAATTGGACAGGTGTGTAGAGCTGAGAGCCCAGGATATGATGTGGAACAATGTCCAGTGCGAGTCCAAACTGTCGGCATTTGTTTGCCAAACAGATAAACAGTTTCCCGACGGGACAGTTGGCGTAGGCGGTCGGTGGCCATCATCCGGTGCCGATCGTTGGATACCGTTTAATGGCTGGCGTAATGATCCAGAGGTTACCGACAACGATACAGATGACGGCCAGACAATCGGACTGTCCGCTAGTCTAATATGGCTATTGGTTATACTGTGCGCCCTATCCATAGCCAGTGCCCTATTTGTTGCCTACAATTTCTGGTCACAATCACTGAAATCGTGGACCGGACAGTACTGTCAGTGTTGGAAATGGTTTAACCGCTATCGCCAACACTCGTACGACACGACGTCAACTGTCGGCACCGGCGGTAGTGGTCAGACCAGTGTCCGTAGTTCTGTACGGAGCGGTTCGGTACGCAATTCAGCCGTTATTACCGATCGTAATGTTTTCGATGTTCGTAACGAAGAGTCATAAATACTATAATAAAAAAAATATTTTTGTTATAAATATTTTTTTTAAATGTAGTTTTAGTTTATATTTTGTGTTTTTTTAATAATTAATTATTTAGTATTATTATAAAAAAATGTTACTATTTATATCTTAACATTTTTTCTATTAAAAAATATAGTATTAATTGTATTAATAATAATTATAGTAGTAATTAAATAAAGTGGAAAATTTTTAAATAATAAATATCAAATCATTAGTTTATTGAAAATAGTTAAAATAATAATATTATTATTAAGTTATTTTTATCATTACTTTGAAATACAATACAATTATTTTAAATGATTCATTCAAATAATGAATTTAAAATAGTCAGAGTATACAACATTTAAAAAAATAAAATAAATATAAATAAATTGATATACAAATTAATAATGCAATTTATTTTATTATTTGTCTATAATTTAAATTATAATTTTTTAATTTTTTAAACCAAATTTAGAATAATAATTAATATATTATTCTAGTAGCTGTTGTAATACTATGCAAAAAAAATTATTAAATTTTTAAAGAATTATTGAAATTTAAAACCAAAAAAAAATAAATATTTCATTTTACAATTAATATATAATATAATAATAATATTGTTATTAAATTTATTAGTATTAGTAGTAGAGTTGTTGTTGTTGTTGTTGTTGTTGTTGTTGTTGTTGTTGTTGTTGATTAATTAGGTAATCTATTCTATCTATTGTATCATCAATCCAGGGAATATAACTGGAAACTCTAACATATCTAGTGGGAATTTCAGTCAATATGCATGCTATTAGTGAGGATGAAGTAATACCGGTAACCACAATAGGACCATGATGATTATCTGCGATTACCGTCGGGCAAATAAGCGGTCCGCCACTATCGCCACCGCAGATACGTTGATTAGGATTACCGGCGCATAACTGATTGTTTCTATTGAACTGTCCTAAATTGTCAATATATTGTTGGCATTGGTCATCATTATAAATCATCTGATTGGCCTGTTGTAATTCTTTAGGATAATTGTTATTGTTGTCTATATATCCCCAACCAATGGCCACACACGAACGTCCATCAATTGGATAATCGTTGTAATTTAACATTATTTTATCAAACTGACCATCCCTTAAATTAATGTGTCCATTTAATCTTATTAATGCTATATCGTTTTGTAGATGTTCGGCATCATAATCAGGATGAACATAATACTATTGTGTGTGTGTTATATAATATATAAATAAAAATGTAAAAAATTAATTAATAATAATTACATTTGTAGTTGTTAATAAATTATCTGTTTGACCAAATAGGTGTCCTCCTAATTTAACGTTAACAATAACTGTACCAGGCGGTGAATTTGTTTTGTCGTAAATACAATGAGCGGCCGTCAAAATCCATTGTTCATTGATTATAATACCGCTACAATAGTAATCTGTAAAATTATGATCAGGTAGTCTAGTGTTTAGATGAACCATAAATCGACTGAAATCATCGTCAGCTTTTTCACCAATTATTCGGGTAAAATCCATACCGTTAGCATAGACTGCAAACAAATTCAGTAGAAATACTACCGATAATTGGGATAAAATACTTGAATAAATCATTATTAGTAATAATTAAGATAAAATATATTTATATATAATATACTTATATTTTATAATTAATATATTTATATATATTATACTTTTTAATATATATAAATATATTGTTAATTTCAATAATAAAAATCTCATCTATTTATACTATTTTTATTTAGCAAAAAAAATATATTATTATAATTAATAATCAAATATATTTAAAAACATTTGTATTAGATATTTAACTTCATTAATCAATTAATAATTTATTACTATTTTAATACACTTGTAAAATTATCATTAAAAAACTTATTTTTATATTTGATGCATAATTTTGACTATTATTTTAAACATTTGTTTAGTGCAGTAAAATTTAATTAATTAATAATTACTATTTTGCACAAGGTTTTCACTTGTTTCTTAAATAATAGCTATACTTTTAATTTAATGTTAAAAATATTAAATTATTAATTTAAATAGTTTTAATTCTAATTTTTTTATTTTATATTGTATATTATAATTTGTAAATTATTTAAATTTATTTTTTTAATTTAATATAAATAACTTTGTTGTTGTTAAATTATGTTATTTTTCCTAATTATTAGTATTAAATAATATTATAAATTTTCAATTATAATATAAATTAAATATTAAATGTCATTTATTAGTATAAAAATTATGTAATAATAAAATATTATATTACTGTCAAAATTACATCCTATTAGTTGAAACCTAATTAATTTTATTGTCATTTTGATGAATGATTTATAAAATTTAAATGTGCGGTAATTTTAGAAATTTTCTATTTTTTAATAAAAATCTGTTTAAATATAATAATTTATTGATTGTCGATATTTTTTTGTAAAATAAAACAATTAAATAATGTTTTAATAACTTATGTTATTTAGTTATAAAATAACATTTATTTCAGTTTTAAAACATTTAATATTCTATGAATATATGAAATAATTATTTTTATTTTAAAAAAATTATAAATTTATTTACTTAAATATTGATGATAATAATTGTTAAACAATTATATAAATGTTATTTAATTTAAATATTTATTTATTTATATTTTTTAACTTTAATATTATAATTAATAAAATTAAAAATTCAAATAAATGATGATATTTTGTTTGTTTAGTTATTAAAATATACAAAATATATAATATAATAATAAAAAATAAAACATTTCCAAAAAAAATTCATTTAATTTTTATTTATTTATATGTAATTTTTTTTTGAACAAACTTTTCTTTATATATAAATATAATAATTAAGTTATAATTAATTAGATTAAAGTCATTGTTAGTTTATATATATATATATATATATATATATATATACAGTATATTGTATAATAAATTATATATAATATTAATTTAAAATAGCAATAAATAAATATATAATTTAGTTAGCTTTATAAAAAAAAACAAATTATATTTACAATAACATTTAATTTACTATAGTTAAATAATGATAAATAAAATTATTATTATTAAATTATAATTTAGAATATAAAATAGTATTTATGAAAAATGTAAATTAATTTTTATCTTATTGTTTAACAAAACGGAGAAACAGTTTACCGACGGTGACAGTTGGCGTCGGTGGCCGGTGACCATCATCCGGTGCCGATCGTTGGATACTGTTTAATGGATGGCCGAATAATCAGCAGCAGCCAGAGATTACCGACAACTAGACAGACGGACAGACAATCGGACTGTCCGCTAGTCTATTATGGCTATTGGTTATACTGTGCGCCCTATCCATAGCCAGTGCCCTATTTGTTGCCTACAATTTCTGGTCACAATCACTGAAATCGTGGACCGGCCAGTACTGTCAGTGTTGGAAATGGTTTAACCGCTATCGCCAACACTCGTACGACACGACGTCAACTGTCGGCACCGGCGGTAGTGGTCAGACCAGTGTCCGTAGTTCTGTACGGAGCGGTTCGGTACGCAATTCAGCCGTTATTATCGATCGTAATGTTTTCGATGTTCATAACGAAGAGTCATAAATACTATATTATTTTGTGTTATAAAAAATTTTAAATAATAGTAAAAATATAGTTTTAGTTTATATTTTGTATTTAGTTTTGTATTTAGATTTGCATTTAGTTTTGTATTTAGTTTTGCATTTAGTTTTGTATTTAGTTTTGTATTTCGTTTTGCATTTAGTTTTGCATTTAGTTTTGTATTTAGTTTTGCATTTAGTTTTGTATTTAGTTTTGTATTTAGTTTTGCATTTAGTTTTGTATTTAGTTTTGTATTTAGTTTTGTATTTAGTTTTGTATTTAGTTTTGCATTTAGTTTTGTATTTAGTTTTGAATTTAGTTTTGTATTTAGTTTTGTATTTAGTTTTGTATTTAGTTGAATATATAGTTTATAATTAATTAAATGATTCATTCCGAATATACAATATTTTTTTTAAAATAAATATATCAATAAATTCATATACAAATTTAATAATGCAATTTATTTTATTATATGTCTATAATTTAAATCAAAATTTTAACAATTTAAAAAAAACAGTAATTTAGAATAAAAATTATTTTCTATTATTATTATTACATCTAAAAAAATTTTATTTTATTAATTTTATAGAATTATTGAAATTTAAACCAAAATATACTATTATCTAAGATATATAGTATAATAATATTGAAATCAGATTTGTTATCAGTAGAGTACTTTTTTTTATTAATTTTCCTTCATTGTACGTTCAATCCAAGGCGTAAAACTGGCAACTTTACTATAGACACTGGGAATTGGTGTCAATTCACATCCATGAATATCATAGTTAACAATACCATAGGAAACAACACCCACAGCCACAAAATCACCTCTAATATTATTTATAGAATCAATTATCAATCTACAAATAAATGGTCCGCCACTATCGCCACCACATACACGTTGGTTAGGATTACCGACACATATCTGAGTAGTTATATTGAATGGTCTAAAAATACTTAATGGACTAGACCAATATTGTTCACATATGTTACTATTATAAATCTTCTGGTTTGTGGCCTGTTGTAATTCATTGGGAAAATTTCCGTATTTGTCTTTATAACCCCAACCAAGGCTTATACACGTGTCAGCATCAAATAGATAATTGGTTTTTACTAAACCTATTTTTTCAAATCGACCATTCTTTAAATTAACTGGATTTTTTAATTTTATTAAAGCTATATCGTTATGTAGATTTAGTGGATTATAATCACGATGAATAAAATACTGTTGTGTTAATTAAATATATATATATATATTATTATATTAATAATATGAAAAAATAATATAATAAAATTAATAATAATAATTACATTTGTTGTTTCTAAAAAAGATTTTGTACCAAATAGATCATCTCCCAATTGATATCTGACAATAACTGTACCAGGTGGTGATTTTGTTTTGTCGTAAATACAATGAGCGGCAGTCAAAACCCATTGGTCACTAATTAGACTACCGCCACAGTAGAAATCTGTAAAATTACGTGCAGGTAGTCTTGTGTTAAGATGAACCATAAATCGACTGAAATCTCTGTCGGCTTTTTCACCAATTATTCGGGTAAAATCAAAACTGTCCGATGATTGGACGTTAGTATAGACTGACAACAAGTTCAGTACAAATACTAACAATAATTTGGATAAAATACTTGAATAAATCATTATTAGTAATAATAATTGAGATAAAATATATTGATATATAATATACTTATATTTTATACTAAATCTTTATATATTTATATATATTATACTTTTTAATATATATATATATATATAAATATATTGTTAATTTTAATAATAAAAATCTCATCTATTTATACTATTTTTATTTAGTAAAAAATATATTATTATAATTAATAATCAAATTTAACATTTGTATTAGAAATTTAAATTCATTAATCAATAAATAATTTATTACTATTTTAATACACTTGTAAAATAATCATTAAAAAACTTATTTTTATATTTGATGCATAATTTTGACTATTATTTTAAACATTTGTTTAGTGCAGTAAAATTTAATTAATTAATAATTTTAAATTACATTTTGCACACGATTTTCACTTAAGTTTCTTAAATAATAGCTATACTTTTAATTTAATATTATTAAAATTGTTAAAAATATTAAATTATTAATTTAAATAGATTTAATTCTAATTTTTTTATTTTATATTGTATATTATAATTTGTAAATTATTTAAACTTATTTTTTTTAATTTAATATAAATAACTTTGTTGTTGTCCTATTTTTCCTATTTATTAGTATTAAATAATATTATAAATTTTCAATTATAATAAAAATTAAATATTAAATGTCATTTACTAGTATAAAAATTATGTAATAATAATATTTTATATTACTGTCAAAATTACATCCTATTAGTTGAAACCTAATTAATTTTATTGTCATTTTGATGAATGATTTTATAAATTTTCTATTTTTTAATAAAAATCTGTTTAAATATTATAATTTATTGATTGTCGAAATTATTATTTTTTGTAAAATAAAACAATTAAATAATGTTTTAATAACTTATGTTATTAGTTATGACTCATGACATTTGTTTTAGTTTTAAAACATTTAATATTCTATGAATATATGAAATAATAATTTTTATTTTAAAAAAATTATAAATTTATTTACTTAATATTGATGATAATAATTGTTAAACAATTATATATCAATAAATGTTATTTAATTTAAATATTTATTTATTTATATTATTTAACTTTAATATTATAATTAATAAAATTGAAAATTCAAATAAATGATATTTTGTTTGTTTTGTTATTAATATATACAAAATATATAATATAATAATAAAAATTAAAAATAAAACATTTACAAAAAAATTCATTTGATTTTTATTTATTTATATGTAATTTTTATTTTGAACAAATTTTTCTTTATATATAAATATAATAATTACTAGTAAGTCATAATTAATTAGATTAAAGTCATTGTTAGTTTATATATATATATACAGTATATTGTATAATAAATTATATATAATATTAATTTAAAATAGCAATAAATAAATATATAATTTAGTTAGCTTTATAAAAAAAACAAATTATATTTACAATAAAATTTAATTTACTATAGTTAAATAATGATAAATAAAATTATTATTATTAAATTATAATTTAGAATATAAAATAGTATTTATGAAAAATGTAAATTAATTTTTATCTTATTGTTTATCCAAACGGAGAAACAGTTTACCGACGGTTATAGTTGGCGTCGGCGGCCGGTGGCCATCATCCGGTGCCGATCGTTGGACAACGTTTAATGGTTGGCCGAATAATCAGAAACAGCAGCGAGAGCTTACCGACAACGATACAGATGACGGTCAGACAATCGGACTGTCCGCTAGTCTAATATGGCTATTGGTTATACTGTGCGCCCTATCCATAGCCAGTGCCCTATTTGTTGCCTACAATTTCTGGTCACAATCACTGAAATCGTGGACCGGCCAGTACTGTCAGTGTTGGAAATGGTTTAACCGCTATCGCCAACACTCGTACGACACGACGTCAACTGTCGGCACCGGCGGTAGTGGTCAGACCAGTGTCCGTAGTTCTGTACGGAGCGGTTCGGTCCGCAATTCAGCCGTTATTACCGATCGTAATGTTTTCGATGTTCATAACGACGAGTCATAAATACTAAAATAAAAAATATATTTTTGTTATAAATATTTTTTAAAAATGTAGTTTTAGTTTATATTTTGTGTTTTTTTAATAAATAATTATTTAGTATTATTATGAAAAAAATGTTACTATTTATATCTTAAAATTTTTTTATTAAAAAATATAGTATTAATTGTATTAATAATAATTATAGTAGTAATTAAATACAATTGAAAAATTTTAATAATAAATAGTTAAAATAATAATAATATTATTATTTTTTTATCATTACATGAAAGTACAATAAAATTATATTAAATAAATCATTCAAATAATGAATTTTCATTCAAAATATAAAATATTTTTTTTAAAAAATAAATATATCAAAAAATTGATATACAAATTAATTATGCAATTTATTTTATTTTTTATCTGTAATTTAAATTAAATTTTTCAAAAATACTAATTTAGAATAAAAATTAATTTAAATTATTATTATATCTAAATTTTTACTAACTGTTAATATTATTCAAAAAAAAAATAATAATTTCTATAAATTAATTGTAAACTATTTGACAAAATTAATAAAAGAAATAAAATATACCATTAAGATATATAATAGTAATAGTAGTAATATTGTTATTAATTAGTAGTATAATTTAATTTTCTTGCATTGTACGTTCAATCCAGTTAATATAATTGGGCACTCTAGTATAGACACTAGGTCCCATAGTCGTATTGCATCCAAGTGCAGCATACGAAGCAACACCCATAACCATATAAGGACCTTTATTATTCGTAGATCCGGTAAACGGTCTGCAAATAAGTGGTCCGCCACTATCGCCTCCACAGACACGTCTATGATCAAAAGAACCGGCACATAACTGTTTGCTTCCATCGTATGGTGTTAAAGGATTGTTTGGACCAGTCCAAAAATGATTACATATTTGATCAGTACAAATATTTTGATTAGTGGCCTGTTGTAATTCGCTGGGAAATGTTTGGTATTTGTCTTTAATTCCCCAACCAATGGATACACACGATTGTCCATCAATGTAATAATTTCTGTGTACTAAATCTATTGTTCTAAGATTGCCATCTTCTAAATTAACTGGATCGTCTAATTTTATTAAAGCTATATCGTTATGGAAATTTGTTGGATTATAATCAGGATTAGTAAAATGCTGTTTTGTGAATTTAAATATAGAAATAGATAATAATCAATTGTATTAGTCAATTAATAATAATATAAACAAAAATTGTAAACAAAATAAATAAAAATACTTACATTATAACTCTTTAAATAATCTTTATGATCGAATAGGTGTCCTCCCAATTTAACTCTAACAATTTGTTTAACAGGTGTACTGTCGTTAATACAATGAGCGGCAGTCAAAATCCATCGGTCACTGATTAGACTACCGCTACAAAAGTAATTTTGAAAATTATGACTAGGAAATAATGTGTTTAGATGAACCGTAAATTTACGGAAATCATTGTCGGCTTTTTCACCAATTAGTCGCGTAGATTGTTCGTCAGTATAGACTGACAACAAATTCAGTACAAATACTAATAATAATTTGTATAAAATACTTGAATTAATCATTATTAGTAAGAATTTAGATAAAATATATTGATATATAATATACTTAATAAATTAATACTTATACTTTATATATTTATATAAATTTATACTTTTTAATATATATATAAATATATTTTTAATTTCAATAATAAAAATATCATCTATTTATACTATTTTTATTTAGTAAAAAAATATATTGTTATAATTAATAATCAAATATATTTAAAAACATTTGTTTTAGAAATTTAAATTAATTAATCAATTAATAATTTATTACTATTTTAATACACTTGTAGTATTATAATAATAATTATTTTTTATTATTTTAATATTTGATGTATTATTTTGACTTATTTTGATTTAAACATTTGTTTAGTGCATTAAAATTTAATTAATTAATAATTTTAAATTATTATTTTGCACACGATTTTCACTTAAATATCTTAAATTATAGTTATACAAATAATTTAATGTTAAAAATATAAAATTATTAATTAATTATAATTTTATTTATTTTATATTATTTTAAAAAAGTGTTATAATATACTGTAATAATATAAATATTAATATAAATAAATATTATATAAACTTAATTAAAAAAAAATTATAATTTACAAAATATAAATTAATATATAAATTATATAAATTTATTTTTGTTGTTATTAAATTATATAATATTTCCTAATTTTTGTTAAAAAAAATATTAAAAATTTTCAATTATAAAAAAAAATTAAATATTAAATGTCATTTATTATTAAAAATAATTATGTAATAATAAAATTTTATATATATATCTGTAAAAATTACATCCTATTAGTTGAAACCTAATTAATTTTCATTGACATTTTGATAAAATTTTATAAAATTTAAATGCGTGGTTATTTTAGTAATTTTCTATTTTTTAATAAAAATCTGTTTAAATATTATAATTTATTGATTGTCTAAATTATTATTTTTTGTAAAATAAAAAAATTAAATAATGTTTTAATAACTTATGTTATTAGTCATGACTCATGACATTTGTTTTAGTTTTAAAACATTTAATATTTAATGAATATATGAAATAATTATTTTTATTAGAAAAATAATTATAAATTTATTTACTATACTATTGTTAATAATAATTGTTAAACAATTATATAAATGATTTTTAATTTAAATATTTATTTATTAATTATATTTTAATTTCAATAAATGAAAAGATATTTAAAAATAATATTTTTAAAATATTCTAATTTTTAATCCCTTTCCCTCTCTCTCCCCTCTTACACATACACATACACATACACATACACATACACATACACATACACATACACATACACATACACATACACATACACATACACATACACATACACATACACATACACATACACATACACATACACATACACATACACATACACATACACATACACATACACATACACATACACATACACATACACATACACATACACATACACATACACATACACATACACATACACATACACATACACATACACATACACATACACATACACATACACATACACATACACATACACATACACATACACATACACATACACATACACATACACATACACATACACATACACATACACATACACATACACATACACATACACATACACATACACATACACATACACATACACAAAAATTCATTTGATTAAACTTTTACTTAGTTTTTTAAACTGTAATTTTTTATACAATTTTTTTAGTGATATATAAATATGATAATTAAATTATTATAAACTAGACTAGAGTCATTACAGGTTTTTAATATATTTTGTATAATAAATTATTTATAATATTTATTAATTGAAAATTAAATATATATCTATTATATATATCAAAATAATTAAATTAGTTAAAATTTATATAATAATTTTTGTAAATTAGAAAGCAACTAATATTTTTTTATAATAAATAAAATAAATAATGATATTTCTAAATTTTAGTTAAAAATTCAAATCTAGCTATGTCATTTACTATTAGTAATAGACTATTGTTTAAATTAATAAATATAAAAATTATATTATATATATCTGTAAATAATAAAATTAATTTAACTAAATATTTAAAATATATTATATAAATATATGATTAATTGTTGGAATAAATAAAATATTATCTAGTAAATATTGTTTTTTATAAATATTTAAATAAAATGTTAATCTAGAAAAATTACAAAATATTATTAATTTTAAAACTCAATAAAAATTTTGTAATTATAACTATAAAAAATTTAATTATCATGATTTCAAATTAATGTTTATTTAATAAAAAAAATATTTCTTAAACAAATAAACTATTGATAAATCATTTGATTAAATAAACTATATATAAGTGGTTACACAAAATGTATAGTTAGTTAATATATATATATATATATTTTATATTATAGTTGGTATAAACTATTCAACAACAAAAAAAAGTTAAATTTTTTAAATTAAATAATTATTTAATTAAATTTAATTAATTAGATAATTTTAAACGAAATATTTGTTTTATTTATAAAAATATTATAATAATTATAAAAATTAACTTTTTTAATCAATATTTGGTAAGTATCAAATCAAAAATTATATATTAAAATTTAAAAAAATTATTTTTTTTAAATGTAATCAAGTTAATTGATTATCTTTTTTTAAAATAAAAATATTTATTTTAAATTATAGCATGTTGATTAATAATAATAATAATAATTATTATTATTATAAAATAGTAGAATCATATGGTTATTACGATTTTGATAATAAAAATAAAATGGGATATTTAATAAACTCATTAAACTACGTAAGTACAGTATATATATAATATTGTTAAAAATTTTTAAAAAATATTTATTTTTACTTATTTTATGTTGTTGTTGTTGTATATTTAGTTTTGTTTAATTTTGACTTTTTTACAAAATTTTTTTATTATAAATTATTTTAATAAATTAAAAAAATACAATTATCTCTACAACAAACAGTTGAATCTAATTGAGTAATATTAATGTTTAAGTAATAAATATTTATAGATAAGATTTTTATTTAAAAATTATTAAAAATAAGTATAATTTGAATTTTTATAATTATTTTAAATATGTTAATTTATTTTTAAAAATTTAATTACTAAACGTTTTTTTTCTTTATAGGCATTGGCAAACAATATATCATATTATGATTATGATTAAAATAATATTTTTAATATGACTTTTAGTTTTATTGCCTAGGTAAGTGTTTCAATATTTTTAAAAAAAAATAAATAGAGTATATTATAATTTTTTTTAAAAATACTAGATTTTTTGAGAAAACTATTAAAATTATTATAAAAATTATTTCATTTTATTTAAATAATTATATACTAATTATAGATTCAATTAAATCACCCGACTAGTTTCATCTTTGACTATTTATTTTTATATCAAATTGAGACCCTAGTAATCATACGATTCTACTTAAACATAATTTTGACTAAAATGTAGATTCATATGATTATTTTGATCACAATTTTGATAATATTAAAAAAATAATTTAATAAATACATTATTTATGATTGTATTTAAGTTTTTAAACTATTATATCATATAACCTAATCAACTAATCAATTATTTTATATATTTGTTTATTATTATTATTATTATTATTATATAACTAATTAATTAATTTTTGTTTAATCATAATTTTTATTATTTGTTAATTCTATATAAAAAAGATTTTAATTTTTTTAATGTAAACTAATACTAATTAAAAAAAACTGTTAATAATTTTTTTTATAAAAAATTATTAGTATTTATTGTTTAAATTAAATTACTGCATTTAGACTAGAAATCAAGTGCGTTTAAAATTTTGTATTATTATTAAACTAGATTAGATTAATTAATTTATTATAAAATGTATTTTTTAAATATAACAATAGATTATTAATAAAAAATAATTAAATAATAATTACAATTATATTTATTCTAATTTAATAAATTAAGTCAATTTTTTTACATTTAATTAATTAATTATAATCTTATACTATAAATGTTTTGCTGTTAATACTTATAATTTTGTTTTAAATATTTTTATATTTTAAAAAATAATAAACTGTACATTAAATTTAGCTAAAAAATATTAACAGTTTATATAAATCATTGATAATAATTATATTTAGACAATGGATACATTATTTAAATTTATTATATTTTATATGAATTATTAATGATTAAAACACTTGTAATTATAAAATTAATAAAATAATATTAATTTTTAGATAAAAATTTTAAATTATTATTTATTAAAAAAAATTACACTTTGCAAAAGCAAACTTTTTTACTTTTTAGAAATAATAATAATATAATTTCCATTATTTATGAATATATATATATATATAATTAATTTTTTTAAATGTCATTAAGTTAATTGATTATCTTTTATTTAAAGATATTATTTATTTAAAATTATAGCCAATGTATATTTCCAAGTAAATATAAATAATTATAATAATCATAAAATAGTAGAATCATATGGTTATTACGATATTAATAATAATTATAAAAAAATGGACGAAACAACTACAAAGTAATATTGGTTAGAAATTTTTAAGAACTTTATTTTTACTTATTTTTTTTTTGTTTTAACCTTTTTTTATTTTCAGAAATTTTTCAAATATATTACTAAATATTTTTTAATTTATTTATATTGTAGACATTGGCTAACTATATACTACGATTATGAATCAAATAATACATTTTTAATATTATATTATAATATTTTAGTTTATTGTCTAGGTAAGTAAGTTAGATAAATGATAATTCAAAAATAATAAATAAATATTATTATAGTATAAATTTTAACAAATACTAGATTCATTTTTTTTTTAAATAAACTATTAAACTTAAAATTTTAATTATTTTTTTTTTGAAAATTTTATTTAAATTATAAATAAAGTTTTAGATTGAATTAAAAATCAGCCTGGGTAGTCATATCATTTATTGTTTATTTTTAATATCAATTGAGAACGATATAATCGTACGATTCTACTTAAATATACTAATAATTGTAGAATCATATGATTATTTTGATCACAATTTTTTGATTAAAATTATTAAAAAATAAATAAATAATTATTTTAGACTGTCTGAAGATTTAATCTAATTATATAATTTACCTAATCGTATGGCAATTCAACTTAATTATAAATCTATTATTAATTAATTAAGTTAATTCAGTTAATTAAATAAATAAATTATCTAATCAAGTTATTTTTAATCATAATTTATATTATTTGCTAATACTATAAAAACGATTTTTATTTTTACTGTTTACTATTTAAAACTGTTAATAAATTGTATTTTTTTTTAATTATTAGTATTTAATGTTTAAAATAAATTACTTTTATGAATTAATAAATTTAGCCTGAATATTAAATTTGTTTAAAATTTTGTATTTTTTATTAAACAAGATTAATTAATTTATTATAAACATTAACTGGAAAAATATATAATAAAAGATTAATAATAATAATTAAACAATAATTGCAATTTTTTTGAATAAATAAAATTATGTTTATTATAATTTAATATATTAAGTGATTTTTTGCATTTAATTAATTAATTATAATCTCATACTAAATGTTTTGCTGTTAATACTTATAATTTTGTTTTGAATATTTCTATATTTAAAAAAATAATAAACTGTACACTAAATTTAGCTAAAAAATATTAACAGCTTATATAAATCATTGAAAATAATTGTATTTAGCATTGGATACCTTATCTATTATTTAAATTTATTATATTTTAGATGAATTATTAATAATTAAAATACTGGTAATTATAAAATTAATAAAATAATATTGATCTTTAGATAAAAATTTTCAATTATTATTTATTTAAAAAAAATTACATTTTGCAAAAACAAATTTTTTGTTTTTTAAAAATAATAATAATATGATTTATTTTATTTTATATAATAATAATAATATCAAACTGTAAATAAATTATAGTCATAGAAATTAAATCTTTTATATATTACTATTATTTAAGTCAGATATTGATATATAAATACAAATAAATTACTAAATGTTGTTTTTACTTGTCTAGAAATTATTGTTTCAATTAAATTATATTGTTTTTCAAAATTGTATATTTATTTTATTAAGTACATTATCAATTTTTTTCATATTAAAAAATTAATATTAAAATTTTTATTTATTTTTGTTTAGTTATTTCAATGATTATTTATTTATTGATTGTGTAAATAATTAATATTAATTTTGACAATTAAAATTATAATAGTGAAAATATTGGATTATTAAATTAATTTTTTGTTTTAAATCTATTGAATTTATTTAATTATAATTAAACTATACTTAAATAATACTAATAAAAACTGTAAACAAATTATAGACATAAATATTTATATGTATTTAATGTTTTAATAATTTACTATATTTTTGAGAATATTATTTCTATTCACTATTTTATTAAATCAATTAATTTTTTAAATATATAATATATTATTTTATTTTTTAAAAAACTGTATATAATTTATAGTCATAAACATTAATGCCTTATAATTTTAGTTTATTAAACAATATTTTATTCATATTTTATTATTACTTTTATAGATATAATTTTTATATATTAATTTATATTTAGTTTATTTCTGTAAGTTTTTGTAAATTATATACAATTTTTTTAATTATATTTAAACACATGAATTATGTTTAAATTTATTTTCTAATAATATATTTTTATAAAAAAATAATTTAATTTAATAATTACATCAATGATAATAATATATTGTATTTTAGCTTTAACATTTTTCAATTGTATTTTGTTAAGTAAATAATTTAATAGTTTTTAACAACAATAACAAAACAAATTAATTAAATGAAACTTTTGCAATATTTTTTCTAATTAATTCAGGAATAATAGGATTATTTAATAATTTTATATATAATAATTATTATATAATAATAATTAAATATATTTTTCTAAAAAAAGTACAAAATAGACTAAATATCAGCTAGATAAACTATTTAATTATCATTATTTTTTGATTATGTTTACATTAATTGGTAAATTTATTTTTATATAAATTATTTATCAATATATGTATATAAATATAATGATCTATTTTTTCCACAAAAATAATTGTTAAAAAAATATATAAAACGAAAATCATATTTAATAGTCTAGAATAAATCATATAGTTTTTTATTTAAAATTAACTATAGTTTTTTTTGGTTAGCTAACTGTCCCCGGCCCTAACCAAAAAATATATAAACTAACAAATTATGAACTTAAAATTATTAACCATATTATTTATTATTACAACAATGTTTTTACTAACATTGGGTATGTATACTAAAAAAAATATCATATACTGTATAACTATATTAACTATACAACTAATAATTTAGATATTAATTACATTATATATTAATAATTATTTTCTAATTTTTTTGAAACTTTATATGAAATACCTGTTTGCGCAAAAGGTTTGCGCCAATCATCATCATGAGCACCAAGGTACTGCTGCCAGTGCCGGTGCCAGTGCTAGTGGTGGTGGTAGACATCATGAAGGTAGTGGTGGAACTGGTAGTGGTGGTAGTCATCATACTAGTGGTAAACATCATGTAGGTAGTGGTGGAACTGGTGGTGATGGTAGTCATAGTGGTGGTCATCAGCATCATGAAGGTGCTGGTGGTGGCAGACACAAACATGGTAAAGGTAATGGTGATCAACATAATCAACAGGGTCACCAAGGTCAACATGGTAATGGTGGTAGGGGTAGGCATGCTGGTGGTGGTGGCCAAAAGGGTGGTCAGCATCATGAAACAGGTACGGCAGCCACAGCTGAGGGACGTTAAAAAATGTTTATTTTATTATTATTTTTGTGTGCATTTAATTAAACGAGTATATCATACAAATTTTGATAAATATTTTTGTTTTGTTTTGTGTATATATTATTATAATTATATTTTTTTTAAATGTAATAATTATCTAATTTAACTATTTTTTTATTAATTATATTTGTGTACAAAAAAAACAAATAATAATTATTATATTTTGTAACATGTTATTTTTTGTTGAAAAAATTATTTTTTAATTTTTTAAATGTTTGGTTTAAATTTTGTTTTTTGTTGTTGTTTTTTTAATTTTAAATAATAATTGATGTATCTCATTTAGTATTATATACAGTATTATTGAAATAAATTATAAGTATTTAACATAAATTAATTTAGCTAACAAGTTTATTTTTATAGTTAATCAATAGTAATAATAATAATTAATTGTTATTTTACAAAAAAAAAGTTTTTAATATAATAATAATAATCAGTTTCATATAAATTGTTTATTATATAAAAAATACATTTTCTAAATATTTAAGCTAATAATACAAATTAATTAATAATAATAATGCAATAAAATTTTAATTAATAATTGACATGTATATTATTTACATTATACAGTATTATATTTATTGACTAATAAACTATTAATTATTTTTGTTACTATAATATGTTTTTTTTTAATTATTAGATCAGTTGTTTTAAAAAAAATTGAGTAAATAATATTTATTTTTGCAATTATAATTATTTTTAAAAATAGATTTTTAAACAATTAAACAAGCAAAAAAACAAATGCAAATTATACATTGTTTAATCATTGTTTGAAATTTTTTTTTCAAAATAAATATATTTCAATTAAACATTATTGCAAAATAAACTTAAACTACAATATATTATGTTATGTTATAAATTGTTATTATAAAAATAATTAAGTATTGATAACTTATTTTCTAAATTTTTATTAAACTTTTATATTAAATAAATTTTTATAAACATGAAAACATTAACAATTAATTTTCTATGTCTACTATTATTAACTGGCTACATTATATTGAATATGGGTAAGTTATATTTAACTAATTATATTTAATTAATTAATTATATTTAAATTATTATATTTTATTATTAAAATTATTCATTTTTGAAAAAGCCGTTTTTGAAACAGTAATTACCACAACAACACCATCAAAATCGGGCTCCGGTAGTATCACTACTACCACTGATAAGACACCGAAAAAACATTTACAGGAACGACACGGAAAGGCCAGACACCATAAGCTGGCAAATGGTACTGAAGTTGATGACTAAAACCCCACTAATAATAATAATAATAATATTTTTAATAAAATAATATTTAAAAAAATTACAATAATTATTATTATTATAAATATAAATAAAATGCACTTTTTTTATTTAAAAAGTTAAATTTTGTTTATCAATTTTATTAATATTAAAACTATTTTCAATAGTCTCAAAATTATAACTAATAAAAAGTACTAAAATTATTTTTTTTAATTATTTTTAAAATGTATTAATATTCAAATGAAATAAACTGAAAAATAATTTCAAACATAACATATTGTCACATAAAAAATAATTTTATTAAATGTCAAATTATTTTTAGAAAACTAAAACAAATTATTACTCTAAAACCTAAACACTAGTTATACAATAAACTTATAAAAACAATAATATTTTATTTAATTAGTACAATACTATAGATAACAAACAATTATCAGTCATTTAAAATAATAATCTACTAAAAATATTTTTATTAATTATTATTATTATCATTACTACAAACATTAAGCAATAGACTGTTAAATAGTAAAAATAGATATTAATTATTAAATATATAGCAAATATATTTATACAAACAAACAAACAAACAAAAAGTTATTTGAATAATATAGTAATAATTTGTTTTTTTAAATGCATAATTTAAAATGTACTGTAAGAATACCAGTTGCATAACTGAATACAGTGCTGTCAAAATAAAATTGAATTGAATTGAAAAAAAATTGAATTGAAAATAAATTATAAAAAGTTAATATTGTAATACATAATATTTAATTTCATAATGTTTTTTTGTATCAGTTATTAATAATAATCAGAAAATATTTTTTTTCAGATATAAAAGCTATTTAAACACTAGATTTGTCACACAATTGAAATACTGAAATATTGATAACAAACTTATATATATATATATATTAGAAATACGGTATTATATAACAAACAAACATAAAAATAATACTATAATATTTGATAATTTAATTGAAACAAAAGTACAGTACATGATATATACAATGGACTTATTATTATAATATATATTTTATATCATATTGTTATATAGTTTAAAGTACTAAGTTTAGTATATTAATATATATATATATATATTGATATAAATGACAAGTAATATATAAAATATCAATTTTTTTATTGAAATTAATGCTAAATAATTTATATACTATTGAATTATTATAATCATAATTTGATATCTAGAAAAAAAATTGCAATACAGTTAGGTATATAATAATAATGATTCAAAAAAAAATTTAATTTAGTTTTTTATTTTTTGAATTATAGTTAAATGCTTGTTTAAATACAAATATACTGTAAATATTTTACAATTTTTTTAAATACTAATTATTAAAGTAATTTTGTGCGTGTGTGTGTGTGTGAATAATAACAACATTTTATTAATAAAATAATTTACTTTTTTTAATTAAATATTTTTTTTACAAAAATAATTTTCATTAGAAAACATATTGGAAAACATTTTTTTCCAGCAATTATTCATTATATTTAGTAAATAGTTATCAATTTATTTGATTAATTAATTAGTTATATATAAATAAATAAATAAAAATATTTATTTTTTATATTAAATTAATATTAATTAATAATTTTTGTCTTAATCATGACGTTTCAAATTTTGTTTAAGTTGTTTGTAATGAAAAACTTATTTCTATAAATTGTTTTTTAAAAAAATATTTATTTATTATTATTTTTTTGCTATTAAATACAACAATAATAATTATATTGATATATACAGTAATAATAATAATAATTCACCATGATACTTAAATCAATATTACGCGCGCTTATTAGGCGCAAACAAATTGCTACCGACAAAATGGAGGTCACTGAACTGGCCCGGGTACTATCAATGTTTGATTTAATTTGTCTAGGTAAATTAACAAAATTATTTTTTAAATAATAATAATTAATATTATTTTTTTTATATTATTATTGTTGGTTACTATTATTTGTTTGAATTTATTATATTTAAATAATTTAAATAATTTATATATCAAATATAATGTAATAATTATTTTATTTATTTTTTTGCTGTTTAGGAGTGGGCTCAACACTGGGCACCGGTGTCTATGTGCTGGCCGGTGATGTGGCCAGTTCAAAATCGGGACCGGCAGTTATTATTGCATTTGTGATTGGTTAGTTTTAAAATTATTTAAAACTTTTTAAAATTTTTAAATTATTGTTAAATATATATTTTTCATCTCAACTAAATTAAATACCTAATTGTATGACTAATAATATGTAATTTAATATTTAATTTGAAAAAAGTATAAAAATTTGATATTATATCTTGATATCTAATATTTTTTAATTATTTTTTTAGCTGCAATATCATCAATGTTTGCTGGTATGTTATAATTGAAAAATTAATTAATTATAGAAAATATAAGATAATTAAATAATTTAATTTTTTAATAAAAGGCTTATGTTATGCTGAGTTTGGCTCACGTGTGCCACGTGCCGGCTCAGCCTACCTATACTCCTATGTAACGGTAGGCGAGTTTATGGCATTTGTCATAGGCTGGAATCTGATATTGGAAAATGTGATAGGTAATTTTTATAATATTATTTAAAAAAAATTTTTTTTAATTAATTAATTGTTTTTTTTAGGTACAGCATCTGTAGCACGTGCCTACTCTGTATATTTAGATGCCCTGTTTGATGGCAAAATGTCTAGCTATATGCTAGAAAAAGTGCCCATGCACGTATCGGAATTGGGCCAGTATCCAGATCCATTATCGTTTATATTAACCCTGATACTAACTGGTTAGTTGGAAATATTTTTTTAAAAAAATTATATTAAATAGTTTTTTAAATGTAAAATTATAAATTTTAATATTATTTAGTTTATTGTGTGTGTGTGTGTGTGTGTTATTATTTATAAAAAAAATTAATTATTTATTAGAAAATAGATTATAATTATTTGTTTTTAATTTTTAATGCAAAGTTTATATTGTTATTATACTATTGTTGTTTTATTTGTCTATAGTAGTTATGAAAATAATTTTCATATAAAATAAATAGAAATATTATTATCATTATTTATTTTATTATTTACTAATTTTGTAAGATTTTAAAAGCAAATTATTATTAGAAAAAATAAATAAATAAATTATTATTTTTTAAAAAACTGTAATAATTTAATTATTAACTAATAGTTTTATATAATTATAATTTGTTAGTATATGTTACTAGTTAACTAATCTAACCTAACCTTATATACAATATATTAATTTATAAATAATAATTATATATTTTTTTATAATTAATACTTAATAATAATTATATATTTTTTTATAATTAATAATAATAATTATTATAATATCTAATGATTTCAATAGTATTGTTGGCCATCGGTGTTAAAGAGTCGATACGTTTTCATACATACATGACTTGCGTTAACCTATTGGTTGTGGTGTTTATGGTGGTGTGCGGTATCATTAAAGCCGATACACATAACTGGGCCATAGATAAGAGTGAAATACCCGATAAATATGCCGATTATCGGGGAAACGGCGGGTTCTTTCCGTTCGGGTTTCGCGGTGTTATGGAGGGCGCAGCCACCTGTTTCTATGGTAATATCACTGCTCTCTCTCTCTCTCTCTCTCTCTCTCTCTCTCTCTCTCTCTCTCTCTCTCTCTCTCTCTCTCTCTCTCTCTCTCTCTCTCTCTCTCTCTCTCTCTCTCTCTCTCTCTCTCTCTCTCTCTCTCTCTCTCTCTCTCTCTCTCTCTCTCTCTCTAGTTATTTATTTATCTTGAATTTATAAATATAGTATAAATTAATTTTTTGTGAATTTTTAAATATAATTTAATAGTAAAATCGTCACATATTTTTGTGTAGTGAATCTCTCTCTCTCTCTCTCTCTCTCTCTCTCTCTCTAAATAAGAAAACTATTTATAATATAATATCTACAGTATATTAACTATAATAAACATTTTATAGCTATTTATTGTATTGTATTTATACTTTTATTTTATTATTATTATTATTATTGCATTATATCTACTCTCTCTCAGCTCTTTCAGTCACTTATTAAACATAGAAATTATTTTTAAAATAATATAAATTTTTATATATATAATACTGTATTAACTTATTATAGCATTTATCGGTTTCGATGCCATTGCCACTACCGGTGAGGAGGCCCGTAATGCCAAACGGGCCATACCTATCAGCATAGTTACATCGCTGGCACTGGTATTTGTGGCCTATTTTAGTGTTAGCGCCGTCCAGACACTGATGTTTCCCTACTATATGCAAAGCAAACAGTTTACCAAAGGAGCTACCTTTCCCTATATATTTCAACAGTTGAACTGGCAATGGGCCAAATGGTTGGTATCTATAGGTGCCCTGAGTGGCCTATCAACTAGTTTGCTGGGTGCTATGTATCCGCTGCCCCGTGTACTCTACTCGATGGCCAGCGATGGCGTATTGTTCCGTTTTCTGGCCACTGTTCACCGTAGGTTTCAGACACCGTTGTACGCTACACTAATTGCTGGGCTATTGACCGCTATAATGGCCGCCTTGTTTGATATCGACCAGTTGGTCGACATGAACTCTATCGGTACACTCATGGCCTATACACTGGTAGCCGAATCTATACTGATTATTAGGTTAGTTGTGTTATTTTTTTAGGTCATTCCTCTACTATATCTATCTATATATTGTTATTGACTATTAACCGACTGTACCGATAGATATGCCGATGATCTGGACTTTATCAACGATGCGGACAATATTAACGATATAATTGATGACCATTTTGCCAATATTGATGGCCAGCAAGTGGTGACCACTACCGCTACCGCCAGTCGTATCGCTAGACAGTTGATTAATTTGGACGGCATTACCCGTCCGACTTGTTTTACATCCCGAGTGTCAAACACATTGATTGCCACAATTAGTTAGTAAACTGATTTTTAAAATGAAAAAAATATATAATTATTTTTAATTTTTGTTTTTTTTAATTAATTTTTTCAATCAATCAATCTATTGAATAGCTTTACTGATAATCGTATTGGACATTGAATTGTATGAAATGTTGGACTATCTATACGATGGTAATGTCGGTGCCATTGTAGGCGTGTGCCTGACCATGCTATTGATATTAGTAGTTGGCTACTGTCTAACTAGACAGCCAACAATTGCTAAATCAAAAAATTTTGAAGTATTATTATTATAATTATTATTTATACAATATAAACTAAAATTAGTCTTTTATTTGAAACATTTTTAGCTAGATTATTTATTATGTGTTTTTATTTAAATAATATTTTTTTTAAAAAAATAGGTACCCTGGATACCATTGGTACCGTTTTTGAGTGTATTTGTTAACGTTTATCTAATGTTAAACCTATCGAAAGCAACCTGGATCAGGTTTGCCGTTTGGATGTTTATCGGTTAGTTTGATAATAATAATAATAATAATAATTAAAATTAATTAATTTATATTATTATCTGTATTTTGTTGTTGTTTTTGTTGATAGGTTTACTAATATACACATTATATGGCATTAGACACAGTAGTCTCAGAAATACTAATAATAATAATAATAAAATTGTTGAAAAAATTTCGGCAAAAGATTCATAAATAAAATTATTTTATATTTTTTATAATTAATAATATTTTTTTCATTATTGTAAATCATTTTGTTTGTTATATTAGTTTATATTAATTTACTAGTTATGTTAATTTATATTTTTAAAAATTTGATTATTATATTTTAGTTTATTTTTGTATTATATATATAATTTGTAAAAATATATTAGTCACACACCAAAAAAAAAACATTTACAAAATTATTAAATACATGTAAATATATTTGTATTTTTTTGAGTTTATCATTCAATAACAATGATATTACTTAATACAATAGTTAATAAAAAAAAATACTATACAGTAGTATAAAACGTATATAAAAATTTGTTAAATCATTATAATATATTATACAATACAATATACTGTATTGTAGTAAAATTTTAATGATTAAATATTAATAAAATATTTATTGTTTATCGTTTATTATAATGTATTAATAATAAAAAAAATATCAAAATAAACTAATAAACTAATTAATATTATATGAACTCAAGTATTAATATCTTTGGATTTAATTAAAATATATTATATAAAATAAAAATTAATAAAAAATATATTTTTATTTAATGTCACAATTAAATTAATAATAATAATAATGTTATCACTATTTCGCAGAAATAATAATATTGATAATAATTGTTAGTTAACTATTATTATTATTTATTTTTAAACTGGTGTTTATTTAATAAAATAAAAATACTTTAATATAATTGTTGTATTAAAATTAAATAAATAAATTATTTAAAAAAATATATCATGGTAAATTGTTTACTATTTCAGTGGTTAGTGCGTCGCAAACACATTGATCTAACACGTGTCGAGTCTAGTCAATTGGCGCGCGTGCTGACACTGTTTGATTTAATATGTTTAGGTATAAAATTATTATTATTGTTAGTATTATTATTAGTAGTATTAGTAGTATTATTATTAGTATTATATTTTAATAAATTACCAAAAAAATTATTTAAAAAAATTAAATTATTTTATTTATTTAGGTATTGGTTCAACACTGGGCACCGGCCTCTACGTACTGGCCGGTGATGTGGCCAGTGAAAAAACGGGACCCGCCGTAGTTATTGCATTTCTAATTGGTTAGTTTATAATAATAATAATAATAATAATAAATACATATTATTAACAATTATAATTATTATTATTAGAGAAAAAAATATAAATATTGCAATTATAATATTTGTGTTCAATGAATTTGATTAATTTTATAATATAATTTACATAAACATTGATAAATTTTTAAAAAATAATAATAATAATTAAATATAATTATTTTATGATAAATCAAAATTAATAAATTATAATTTTTGTTTGTTTGTTTATAGCTGCAATAACATCATTGTTTGCAGGTAAATAAAACTTTAGAAATTATCATTTACCTTAAATATAAAATTATATATATTTATATATATATATTGCTAATAAAATGTCATATTTATTTATTATAAATAATAATTTTAAAAAAATTAAAAAATTCAAATTATAAAAATTATTTTTTTACATCAATTATTTTTACTGTTGTTCAATACTTAACAATAAAAATAATTAAATTAATTAATTTGTTAAATTTAAATTTATTATTAATTATTATTATTATTTTTAATAGGCTTATGTTACGCTGAATTGGCTGCACGTGTGCCACGTGCCGGCTCGGCCTATATCTATACGTATGTATCGGTGGGCGAGTTTATGGCATTTATAATTGGCTGGAATCTTATATTGGAATATGTGATAGGTACATTTTTTTAGAAAAAAAATTAATATTTAATTACTTATATATATATACTGTATAAATTATTTTTAAAAAAATAGTATTAATAATATAAATTAATTTAATATAATTTTAAATTTTGTTATTATATATGTTTCGATAGTATAGCTAACATTTTTTTAACTAACTATAATTTATTATTATAAAAGGTACGGCATCGGTAGCCCGTGCCTACTCAGTCTATTTGGACGCCCTATGCTCGGGTACTATATCCAGACACCTGCGCCAATGGGTACCCATGAATTTGTCCGGTTTGGGTCCATATCCCGATCCATTGGCCTGTGGGCTGACACTTATCCTAACAGGTTAGTGGGGGTGGAGTGGGATGGGTGGGGGTGAGTTAGACCACCTAAAACAACAAATAAATAATATTGTAGTTACCAAACAAATAAAATAAACATTTAAAATATACATTACATTTATATAAATTATATATTGATATAGTTATATAAGTCTATAAATAATTAATTATTATTATAATAGTTTTTAATTTAAAAAAAACTATTTAAATAATTATTTAATATTTATTAATGAATTTTAAATACATTAAAATATTTAAATAATAATATATGTTATTAATAGAAATTAATAATAAACAGAATTAATTAATTATTTATTTATTGAATGTTTCATAATATTTATAAAAATCCACTAATAATTAGCATTTTTTTAAGTTTATAATTATTTTTTTTAAATATTAACAAAAAATAATAAATTTTTTATTAACTAAACAAATATTAAAAATCACAGTATTGTTGGCCATCGGTGTTAAAGAGTCGATACGTTTGCATACATACATGACTTGTGCTAACCTATTGGTCGTAGCGTTTATTATAGTTACCGGTAGTATTAAAGCCGATAGACATAATTGGGCCATAAGTAAGAGTGAAATACCAGATAAATATGCAAAATATGGCGGCGACGGCGGGTTTTTACCGCACGGTTTTACCGGTTTGATGGCCGGAGCGGCCACTTGTTTCTATGGTATGACTATTTATTTTATTTTTTAAAAAATACTAGTGTTGTATTTTGTTTCAAAATATAATAAGTTTAATTTGTATATAATTTATTAGTTCAGTATTAACATAATATAACTTTATTTTGTTAATTAATATAACTTTATATATATATGGTTTCAATGATTATCTTTTTATTGATTTAATATATAATTAATAATCAAAATATTATTATTATAATAAAAATAGCTTTTGTCGGTTTCGATGCCATTGCCACTACCGGTGAGGAGGCGCTTAACCCTAAGCGGTCGATACCATTAAGTATTATAATATCATTGTTTTTTGCATTTGCGGCCTATTTCGGTGTCAGTACCGTCCAGACACTGATGTTGCCCTACTATATGCAAAACAAACAGTACACTAACGGCGCACCGTTACCCTATATCTACGACCTGTTGGGCTGGCATTGGGCCAAATGGATAGTATCGGTGGGTGCACTGTGCGGCCTATCAACTAGTTTGCTTGGCTGTATGTATCCCTTGCCGCGTATACTCTACTCGATGGCCAACGATGGCCTAGTGTTCCGATTTCTAACTTCGGTCAATCACCGAACCCGGACACCGTTGATGGCCACTCTATTGGGTGGCTTGTTGTGTGCACTGATGGCCACTTTGTTTGATATTACCGAATTGGTCGATATGATGTCCATTGGTTAGTATTGGTAGTACTACCAGGTGCTACCAGTCTATCTTTTATGCTAACCTCTCCCCTCTGTCTCTCCCTATGGGGGAAAAACAGGTACACTATTAGCCTATACACTGGTAGCCGAATCTATAGTCATAATCAGGTATTGTTTTAGGTTTTATATCAACTATTTTTTTTGTTTAATGGACTGACCTATTGTGTGGTGATAGGTATGCCAACGACTTGGACTTTATCAACGAAACGGTTAATAATAATGATTGTATTGACTACTGTTCAACTAATACTAATAATAATACCAGTGCTAACTGTGATCAGTCAACCACAACCACAACAACAGTGCCGGCCGTTTGTCGACAGCTATTAAACTGCAATCGCCTGATACGTCCGACACGTGTTTCATCTATAGTGGCCAACACGTTGACAGCTATAATCAGTTTAGTTATTATTTGATTAACAAAATAAATATTTTTAAAAATTTAAAAATAAAATAAATAGTTTATTTTATTATATATAAAATTTTGCTTGACCCTCTCATTACCCCTCCCCTCTTACTTAACCCTGATATATATATATTTATTATTTAAATATACTGTACTAAATAAAAAATAATATCATTAATTTTTTTTTAAATATATAAATTAAAATTAAATATTTATATATTTTTGTTTTAGTTATTTATAATTATAATTAAGAGATTTTCTATTTTTAAGAAATATATTTTATTATTATTATTTCTCTTAATTATATAATAAACTATAATTATTAAATGTATCGATAGTTTTATAAGTTATAATATATTTAAAACATTTAATATTATTAGTGCGAAAAAATGAGTCAATTTATAACAGTATATAAATATTTTTTATATAAATAATTAATACATTATTAGTAAATGTTTTTTTTATTAATTAGTTTTGTGATAATATTATGTAATATTATTATTATCATAGTTACTGTAGTATTAATAATTTATATATTTATTTTTGAATAGCACTACTAATCATAGTACTGGACATTGAGTTAGTAAAACTATACGATCAGCTCCTGGTTGGACATACCGGTGCCATCATCGGTGTTGTCCTAACATTAGTTTTGGTCATTTTAGTTATGATTTGTTTGACACGACAGCCAACTATAGCTAAATCTAAACACTTTGAGGTTTTTATACCTAAAATAATTATTTATTAATTTAATATATTTTAAAATTTATTGATTTTATAAAAATTGATTGAAATACAGGTGCCGTGGATACCGCTAATACCGTTTTTAAGTGTTTTTGTCAACTTTTATCTAATGTTAAACTTGTCGACCGCCACATGGATTAGGTTTGCCGTTTGGATGGCTATCGGTATGTGTTATATATATATATATATATTCAATATATTAAATGTTATAAAAAAATTTATTAATTTTAATAGATTTTTGTTTTATTTTGTTTGTTTTCAATTTATTAACTAACAACTAATTAATTTTTATTTTCATTTATTTTGTTAGGTTTTTTAATTTATTTTGGTTATGGTATTAGAAATAGTAATCTAAATATTATTAAAGTTAATAATACTGGTAGTCATAATAATAATTGTGATAAATAATAATTAATTATAATTTAAGTGATAAATTATATTATTTTTGATCATGTATATAATTATATTTTTAAATGTTAATTAAATATGTATATATATATATAAATATTGTTTATTTTTATAATTATTATTTAACAACTATGATATTACTCAATTTAGAAAATAATAATTCTAATACTATACAATTGTAAAATTTTTAAATATATGTATGTTATGTTATTTTAATATACAATAACTGTATACTGTATTCTAGGAAAAAATTATGATTGAATACTAATTTTTTTTAATTAAAATATAAATATAATTAATTTTATTTATTAATAATTTATAAAAATTATTGGTTAAATAATAATTATATATATATATACATATAAATTTATATTCAATAATTACAAATAATTATAAACTGTAAACCTTAAACATAAAAATAGTTTTAATGCATATATTATTGTTAATGTTTATATTTACTAGATAAATTGTAAAAATTTTATTTTTAAATTTTAAAATTAAAACAATTTATTTTTTTAGATAATGAAATTAATTATTCTATATAGGTTTTTTAACTTATGTTAAAAACTACAACTTTTTCAATATAAAACAAATTATTTGTTATAATATTTTATTTAATTTAATTATATTACAATATAATTATATATTTTTTTGTTTATTCAAACACTATTTTCTAAAATTAAATAATATTTTTTTTATTAATATAAGTTGACTTAAAAAATTGTAAATTCTAAATATTTTTAAAAAAAAGTTTTTATATTGAATTTATTAATTTAGTTATTATTTAATACTTATTTATTATTAGTTTTAATTTATAACTATTATTAATATATAAAATAAGATTAATTTATAATTACCTGGAATATGTGATTGGTACATTTTTCATAAATTAATTAAAAAACCCTGGTTAGGGTATTAATTTAAAACTAAAGTAATATAGTTTAGTTTAAAAAATTAAATAAAAATTTATAAAAAATATATATAATGTACTATTTATATATAATTTATTAATAAAATAATTGTTTTATTTTTAAATTGAAATCTGTAATAAATTATTTAATATTTATTATTGATATTTATTTTAATTTAATAGAAAGTTTTCTTTAGAAAAACTATTTTATAGATTTTTTTAGTATAAAAATTTGTATTTTATAATAATAAATTTATTGGATTTTTTAGGATTAAAAGTAATAACAAACTGTAAAGTTTAATATATATATATATATATAGTTTTTTATTGTATAAATCATAGCTAATATTAGCTATAAATGAATTATTTTTTTTTAAATATAATAATTAAGTATAACAATAGTTTAATTTCTTATTAAAAATTAATGTTAAAATAATAATTGTTAACTTTATTACAAGTTATCTTGTTTATTAATTGTTTTTTTTATTGAAAAAATTGTAATAAATTTTTTTAAAAAATATTATTATTGATATTAATATTAAATACATTACTTTAATACAGTAGTAATGTTTTTAATAGGAAATTAACTGATAAAACCAATTATTACTGTATTTTTTTAGTACATTAGTAATTAAATATTATATAAGTATTATTATTATTAATGGATTAATGGTTATTAAAAACTAAATAGTTTTTATTGTATAAATCATAGCTAATGTTATAAATAGAAAATATAACTTAACTTTCTTAAATAAATTATAATTATTTTAGTAGTTTTTTACTTAATTTTATTATTAAATACTGAAACTATTTTTAATAAGTAATTAATGTTAACTAATATAAAATAATAAACTTAATTATTTGTTTCAATTATTTTATTTTGAAATATATCGATGAAAAACTATATTTTAGTCCAATAGTGATAATAAATATATTTATAAACTTTAAGTTTTAATTAATAATAAATAATATTTACTATTATTAGTACTTAATTATTGTATAGTAAATAATTAGTACTATAAGTTTTTAATTTTAAGATTTAATACAATTTATATATTCAATAGTCTAGATAATACTTAAGTTTTTTTTAAAAAATTATAAGATTTAAAAATTAACTAATAGTTTAGTATTTTATAATAAATATAATTTTATTAATTTATTGATTTTTTCGACAACATAATTTTTAATCAATATTGAATATTAATTTTTTTAGTATTAAAAAAATAACTATATATTGATGTATGCTTAATATTTTATTTTAAAAAAAACTATGGATACTATCAAATAAACATTGTTTGAAACCATTGCGATTATATAACTATATTTTTAATTGTAACTAATAGATAGCTAAAAAAATATTTTAAAAAGTTATACTATAATTTATAATATAGTTTAAATACTTATAACAGTTTTATTATTATAAGTTAAATAATTTTTTTTTTGAAATATTAATAAATTTTATAAAGTTTATAAACCTCAAACAACTCATAAAAAAATTATATTGTGTCTGAAAATTAATTATTAAAATACTATTTTATTAAAAAAACTATGTCAATAATATTTAATAATTTAATCATAAAATCTAAACTTATTTATAATGTATAATCTTATAATATATATATTGCAATATATTTAATAAAAAAAATTATTAAATTATTTTATTAGATCAGTGATAAATATTTGATAATAAACTGCAATATATATTTTTTATTAGTATATAATGTACTATAAATATAATTTGATTTGACTATCATTGAATATATATATATATATATTTATTATATAGATTAGATATATATATATATAATATAATTATGTGTTATAATTAAAGTAATCATAATATTATTATTATTATTAAATTATTTATAATTTAAAACAATATATTGTAATAATAAATATTATTTTTTATATATATATATATATATATATATATATATATAGATCAATGTCATATTATATCTTTTATTTATTTATTATTTAAATTATTATAAATTGATATTATTATTATTTTTTAGTACAATTAATAATGTTTAATAATTAATAATTAACTAAAACACTAAAAAATAAAAAATTTGTTTTTAATTATAAATTATAATTAACTTATTATTATTATTATTATATAGAGACTCACGACATGACGTATGAAAAAAAACTGATAATAATTATTATAAATTAAATATTATTTAATAGACATTAATATCACATTTATTATTATTATTATCATTAATTAAAGATTAAATTTTTGTTTAATATCAAAATATATAAAAAATACAATAGATATATAATATACATACGTTTTTTTTGAAAAAATTAATGTATATTTTATACTTTATATGATATAATTATTTTTTTCAGATAAAATATTTTTTATTTTACCGTTAACTGTATTTTTTATCATATATTTATATCATATACACTGTATATTGTTATGACACTAGAGATTGACATTAAAAAAAATATTATTTTTAAAAAATAATTGAAGGTTTAATATCACAAATATTATTAGTAATATAAGATTATTGTGAATACAGTATATATGCATATAATACTGTATAATACTAATGTATATAAAATTTAGAAAATTCAAAAAAAATTTATAATTATTAAGTATTTTGTATTAAATATATACAATAGATATTTAAAAGTTTCATATTTTATATGACATTATTATACACAGTATATAATAATAGTAATAATAATTTAATCGACAGTCAAATAATTATAAGTTTATTCATCATTTATCTATCTATTAATAAATTATTATTAATTTCAAATTAATAATTTTTATAAGTGTTTTAAATATATAGTATTTGATAATTATTGCTAACAATAAGTTGAAATTACAGTATATTTGATTGTATTAAATATTTTTATTTTATGTTTGCTTAAACAAAATGTGTGTATTTTTTATGTGTAAATAATATAATGTATATGTATTTATAATAATAATAAGCAATATATTTTTGTACTAAAAATATATATCTGTGATAATTATAATTATTTATTTTTGTTTTTTTAATAAATAAATATATAAAAAAGTATTTTTAAAAAGTTGGTTTATTTGCAAAAAAATAAATAAAATAATCATGGTTAATAATAAAATATTCAATGCACTGGTTAGACGCAAACAAATCGATGTTGGACAGGTAGATAAAAGTCAACTGGCCCGTGTACTATCATTATTTGATTTGACATGTCTGGGTATGTACTCAAAAAAAACTGTATAAATTTTTAATTAATTAATTTTTAGATATTTAACTATTAATTTTAAGTTGTATTTTAATATAATTTTTACTATAAGTTTTGTATTTAAATTTTAGTTATATTTTTTTGTGTAAATAAAAAACAACATGTGTTTATTTAATAAGTTTATTATTGTATTAATGATAAATATTGCAATATTTTGTTTTTCAAAAATAAAAAACAGTCAACACATGTAATTTTTTTAAAATATCACATAAATTAACTTTTTATTATTTTTTTTACTATTATTAGCAATTTATTTGTTTGTTTTAAAAAAATGTTATTCAATTAAATTAGTGGGAGTTTTTATTTTTACTTATTTTTATAGTATAAACAAAAAAAAATCAATAATATTTATTGTATTAATAATTGTTACTATTAACTGTTTAAATATTATTTATATATTTATTTTTTTTCCATATAATAATAATTAAATTATTTATTTTCTAATTATATATACAAATTAATTTAATTATTTTTATTTTAAAAAAATACTATTAATATAGTAATCAATTGTAATTACAAACAAACAAAAATAATTTTTATATACTAGGAATTGGCTCAACCCTTGGTCTGGGAGTATATGTATTGGCCGGTGATGTGGCCAGTCGTAACTCGGGTCCATCGGTTTGCATATCATTTTTAATAGGTATATCCCATTTAGGACACACACACACATAACAAATTGTTTTTTTATATACTTTAATATCAATTACAATTAATAATTAAAAAAAATTAATTAATTATTACTAAATTATTATTAACTAAAATAATTTAAATCATTATTTCTATAATATATTTATTTATTTATAACAACAACAACGACAACAACAAAATCAATTGTTATCTTATCATTGCATTATAGCTGCTATCGCATCGGTATTTGCCGGTAATTAATTATTTTTTTATTAATTAATTAATTAAATAATAGTACTTTTACTGTATATATATTTAGAGAGAGAGAGAGAGAGAGAGAGAGAGAGAGMGAGAGAGAGAGAGAGAGAGAGAGAGAGAGAGAGAGAGAGAGAGAGAGAGAGAGAGAGAGAGAGAGAGAGAGAGTATAATCTTATTTTGTTTGATTATAACTACATAACAACCCTTTTTTTTTTGTTTATAATATGATATTTATTTGTATTAGTAATACATATTAATCATAACCCCATTTCCCTTTACATTACTTTAACTTTACTTTTTTTACAAAAAAAACAAACAATAGGTTTATGTTATGCCGAGTTTGGTTCACGTGTGCCACGTGCCGGGTCGGCCTATATCTACTCCTATGTAACCGTTGGCGAGTTTATGGCATTTGTTATCGGCTGGAATCTCATACTTGAATATGTTATAGGTTTGTATACATAGTTAGTGGGAACAGGTAGTTAAATAAGGAACAGTACTATATTAAAAAAAATTCCCCAACAATTAATAGGTACAGCATCGGTAGCACGCGGCTACTCCGGCTATATTGATGCCCTATTCAACGGTACAATTGCCGAACACTTTGAACGTTGGTTACCCATCAATATGTCGGGTATGTCCGCCTATCCGGACGTCCTATCGTTTTGTTTGACTATACTGTTGGCCGGTCTGTTGGCTTTCGGTGTCAAAGAGTCGGTCCGTTTGGGGACCGTAATGACTTGTGTTAATCTATTGGTCGTTGTGTTTGTCATCATAGCCGGCTGTTTTCATATTGATTTTCATAACTGGAATATATCGGAAAAAGAGATCCATGAGCTGACTGTTCCCAACTATAAGGCACACGCAGGTAGTGGCGGTTTTTTACCGTTTGGCTTCTCCGGTATGATGTCGGGAGCGGCCACTTGTTTTTACGGTAACTATTTTTTTTATTAATTTAATTATTATTATTATTGATATTGATTTTTTGATACTAAAAAAACTGTAAATAAATAATTAAAATAGTTTTCTATGTATTATATAAATCGTTTTAATTATTACTAAATAGCAGATCTCATTTAAAATTATTTTTTTAAAAATAATAATAATATTTTACTAAATTTAAAAATTATCATTAAATAGTTATATATATAGTTTAATATTTTGTTGTTTATATTTGAAAAGATTTTTAAATGATAATTTTTGGATAATTTTATTATAAAATATATATATGAAAGTTATTATTAAATTAGCAATATATATAATATATATATAATTTTCTCTATTAAAAAACTGTAAGGTTTCAATATAGCAATAGCTTTATTATGTATTTTATAATTTTATTATTAGCGATCATTAATTTAATTTTTTAATTTTTTCATATATAAATAATATCTAATTTAAAAAATATGAATACTATAGAAAGTCTTATTAGTTTTTATAGTTTAATAGTTTTTTTTGTTGTTGAAAAATTTCTATATTAATAATTAAATTATATAATATATTTTTATTACAATTCATTATTTTATACACAAATAATAATATTATTATTGTTTATAATATTATTTATTTTTTAATTATATTATTATTTTTAATTATTAATTTTGTTTATTAAAAAAACTGTAAACATTATTTAAAGCATTAGTTTAATAGTTTATATAAAAAAATATTAATTAATTATTATTGATATTAGAAATGCTACCACTTTATACTTAAATTTATTATAAATTTAAATGTAATTTTTAATTTAGTTATATTTATTATTATTTATTATCTAAATTAACCTATAAATTTTCTAAAATTAAAAATAGTTTAATGTTTTTTTAAAATTTACTAAACTTTTAGTACAGTTTGATTTAATTTAGATTACTAAAATTTTTACTAATTAAAAAACAGTTTTTAAATAATATACTAAATTTTATAAGATTTATAAAATAACATTAGCTTTAGAAATATTATTAAATTAATAAATAAAGTAAAAAAAACAGTGATAATTATTGTTGAAGACAATTTTTGTGCTATTAAATAAAATAACTACTAATTTATTTATTTTTTAATTAATTTTTCTGTTTTAATAATTAAAAAAAAAACCTTAAAATAAATACAAAAAACAAATATTTTAATTTTATTTATTAATTTTATTTTTTACTTTTTTTAATTGAAAAGCATTTGTCGGTTTCGACGCCATTGCCACCACCGGCGAGGAGGCGAAAAACCCTAAGCGGGCCATACCGTTGAGTATTGTCATCTCATTAACCCTAATATTTCTATCGTATTTCGGTGTCTCAGCCGTCCAGACACTGATGTTGCCCTACTATATGCAAAGCAATGAGGATACTAAAGGTGCTCCACTGCCCTATATTTTCGACCATATTGGCTGGCAATGGGCCCGTTGGACAGTATCTATAGGTGCCCTAAGCGGACTGTCCACCAGCTTGTTGGGTGCAATGTTTCCTCTGCCGCGTATAATGTATGCCATGGCCAGCGATGGCCTGATTTTCCGATTTCTGGCCACTGTTCACCAAAGGTCGCAAACACCGCTCTATGCGACCATAATTGCCGGCCTGTTTGCCGGCGTAATGGCCGCACTGTTCAACATTACCGAGTTGGCCGATATGATGTCCATCGGTAAGCAAGCAATTAATAAAAAATGTTAATTAATTTTTTAAAAATAATTTAAAAATAGTTTTTTATTGATAAATAAAAAATTATATATTTCTATATATATTGTATAAATATTTTTAATATATTTTATTATTGTTTATATTATTTTATTTAAAAAATTAACATAAAATTAAACATAAACATAAAAATTAAATAATAATTATTTATTTTTAATTAATATTTTTTTTCAAAATTAGGCACTCTATTAGCTTATACATTGGTTGCTGAATCTATTTTAATTATTAGGTAAAAATAAATAATTTTTTTGATATATTTATATTTTTAAAAAATATTATAAAATAATTTTTTTATTAATAATAAATAATTTAATTTATTTTTTTAAAAATATATAGATTTTCTGATGATGTTCAATCTATAAATGAAATTAAAATCAATACTAATAATACTAATAATAATATTGATAATAATAATAAATTAGATAATAATAGTATTGATAATGTTGGTACTATTGATACAAATATCAATCTAATGTTAGACAATATGCTGGATAATTATGATAAGCGTACAGTTGGCGATCTATGGAGACAACTGTTCAATTTGGATCATCTGACACAACCGACACCGTTTACATCCCGGTTCTCCAACTATCTGATTGTTACAATAAGTTGGTTGACATTATTATTAATAATAAGTAGTACTAAAAATAAAATTATTATTATCTAACTAATTAGGTATACTAATCATCATATTGGATGCACTGTTAGTTTTTCTCGAGGACTATATATTTGTGGCCAATATCGGTGCCCTAATCGGTGTCATTGTTACCCTACTGTTGACTATAGTTGTAATGTTTTGCCTATCATTGCAGCCAAAGATACCGGAGTCGCAAAATTTTGAAGTAATTTATTTTTTTATTTTTTAAAATTAATAATAATCAATATTTATTATTTTGTTTCGCCCCCCCCCCTAAAAAACAGGTACCCTGGATACCTACCGTACCGTTTCTCAGTGTGTTTGTCAATGTCTATCTAATGTTTAAGCTAACATCCCAGACATGGATCCGATTTGGCGTATGGATGGCTATAGGTATGGCTGGTGTGACCGACAAACATATATATTGTGTTAAAAATATAATTTTTTAAATAATTAAATAATTAATTATTATTATTATTTGACAAACAGGTCTATCTATATATATATTTTACGGCATCCGTAATAGTAATGAACGAAAAAAATCATTGATTAAATCACTGGACAGTCGTCTATCAGTTAGCAGTGGTAGTGGTGTTAGTAATGGTTATACTAATAATAATAATAATAATGTTGTGACGACAGTAGTTCCCACATAAATACATGTTTTTGATTATTGATAATTTTTTTAAAAAAATTATTTTTATGTAATTTTAGTTTATTATAAAATCTAATTATGACATCAATTTTTTTATTTATTTATTTTAAATAAATCAAATAATTTATAAATTATTTAAATATTTTATATAAAATGTATAGATTTTTTTGTTGTTGTTTTTGTTGATAAAATTAAATTAAATATTTTATTCTAATATCATATATTAATTAATTTGTTTTTTTTTTGAAAATAATAATTTATTAATTTTTGTAATCATAAAATTATATAAACTTATTATAAATTTATATTAATGTAAAATAATAATAATATTATTATTATTAATAATTAAGCAAATTAACAAAATAGTTGCTATTAGTTATTATTTACTTAAAAAAACTGTAAATTATAAATAAAGCAATAGTTTTAATATATAAATTTAATAATAATTATTATTATTAACAGATAAAAACTATTTTACCCATTTTTTTAATATAAAAATATAATATAATTATTTTGTTTTTCAAAAACTGATTAAAATAGCAAATTAAAGATTTTTAAATATATTTATAATTTTAAAAATAATAATTTTACTGATTTTCTTCTAATTTCTAAATTCTAATTTTTTTATTCAAAATATAGTTATTTAAAATAAATATATAGATATAAACAGTATTTTTATTATATTATATTTAATATTATATAAATTTATTTATAAAAACTGTAAATTAGTAATCTAGTATTAGTTTTATTTTTTTATATTAAAATTTATATTTATATATTACAGATGTCCAAACATTTGTATAGATTTATTTGTTATTTTTTTTTAGTTAAATATTTATTATTTTTTTAAAGTATAAATTAATGTTAAATAGATTTTTATAATTTATATTAATATTTTTTTTGTTCAATGCAATTATTATATATAATCAGTAAAAATCAACTAATATTTTAACTTATTTTTATAGAAATGTCTATTAGATGAAAAAAATATTATGTATGCCATAGTATTTTATTTATTTTAAAAAAATAAATATTTTTAATCTATTTTTTTGTTAAGCATTAATAGTAGAAAAAATTTATAATAGCTATAATAGCTAGTATATAATAGCTATGATAGCTATGATTTTAAAACCGAAAAAAAACATTTAGTTTTTATTAGTAAATATTACAGTATTTATTTATATTTATAATTAATAATTAAAAAAAAATAATTAATAAATTTTTATTATAATAAATACATTTACTAGTATTTCATTTTATAGTTTTAAATTAATTAAAAAAAATATCATGATTAATCATTACTAGCCAAATTATTATAATTTATTTTACCTGTACTCTAATAAATTTATGATATTTATTAATTGATAATAATTATTATTATATATAATAAATAAAAAAATTAGTGTTCAATAAATATATATCATTAATGTAGTAATATAATGCTATAGTATTTTTACATTAATTTTTATTAGACTTATTAATCGGAAAAATAGTAATTAAAATTATTAATTTATTTTTAGGTCTATTTTTTTAGATAATCAATATTTTCATATATAGTATATATATATATATATACTGTATATTTATTATTAAAAAACTGAAATAACATTTTCAATAGTTTTATTATTTACTTTATTTAGTATATAATACTAAACAAAATAATAATGTTTTTATATCACGAAATATTATAATTAAAATTAGTGATGAGTTTTTTTTGAAATTATATTATATATTATATTATTTTTAATTTTTTCTTAATAAAAATGCAATAATAATAATGTCATCAATTATATATTTGACATTTAAATATTGACATTGATATTAAACTTCTAATATTGTTTGTATGCAAAAATATATTCAAAAAAAAAATATTATAATTATATTATTTCTATGTTTTTTGAAATAAATAAATATTTTTATATATATTATTTAGTTATAATGTAATATTATATATAGTTATCAATTATTATTATTATTATTATTTAATTTCTAATATCTATTAAATAATAACAATATTTTTCTAAAGTTGTTGTAAACAATGCCTAAGTTTAGAAAATTAAAAAATTTGAAACATTTGTCAACAGTTGGCTATCTATGCTATCAATTGCTATCGAGTCCATTGGTTACCGGTTTTATACGGCATATGTATGATAAACGTAAGGGTAATCTCACAAAAGTTAACAAAAATGTTGTCATACCTGAGCCAACTAAAGTCAACAACAATAACACTGACAACACTACTACTACTACTACTAAAGATAAGTCAAAAATTAAAGTTAAAAAATCTGCTAAAAAAGTTTAAAAAGTAATTAATTATTATAATTAGTATTATTAGTAAAACATAACTGTATTTAATAATCTTATAATAATAATAATAATAATGTTATCGGAAATTACTGGAAACATTCTAAACATTATCATCCGATCAAAATCATTAGTATTGAAATTGATCTGGGCTATTGTATTATTTTTAGTTAGAAACAGTTGCTATGGTAAATTATTAGTAAAATTATTGAAATATATTTTCAGGAAATATACGCAAAAATTACAGTTTGTTAATCAACATTATCGTCAACTAATACAAATTGAACAATTTAGTTCACGATATTATGTGATATTGCATAGAAATTTCCGGGATTATTCCCAAAGAAAATTACCCAAAAAACGTCTAGTAATTTATTTGCTAATCAATTCAATTAGTTTGTTATGTGTGTATCGTTTTATATCCCTATCCCTCTATACTGATAGTAGTAGTAGTAGTTCCCAGTATATTGAAGATATAGATGATGACCTGACTGTCCATAAACGACTGGTAGCACTGGTACTCGGGTTAGGCCTACTTATAATACTTTTATTTTCATCGATATCCGGTTTATTTGAATACCTTAACCGACACTATATTATCCAATATTTATATGATATACAAACTAACATTAATAATAATAATAACAATAATAGTTTGTCAAAAAAATATGATAAAAAATTCATCTCCCGGTGCCATTGGATGGCCCGGTATGTACTCAGACTACAGTTTCTGGCAATAACGGTAACATTGATACTACTTATGCGTATTATCTATGATCCTGATTATCATCAAAATTCAAATAGTTATTATGATTATTACTACAACAGTTGGTCGGGTTGGCTATTTTGGACAGTATGTATAACTGTAACAATAGTCAACTGTGCAGCCAAATCGGCTGCCAGTAGTTGTCTATACTATTTGGTATTGGTTCACCTGATCTACCGGTTCAAACAACTAGACGAATCCATTGGCCAGTCATCGACGGCTACTACCTGTCCTACTAATACTACTACTACTACTACTAACATACTGTCTATAATAGTCAAACATAATTGTACAGCACTGGTAGTCAACCGGTGCAACCAAGTTATCAAATATATAATTGCCGTATTCTACTATTGGTCACCCATACCAATGGTCATATCCGTCTACGTAATACAACTGTCCCCTTGGCTACTCAGGCTTAGTTTGCTTACAGTTTTGACAATATTTCTAACCCTAATAGTCCTAATCAACTATTTTTGTGCCGATGTCCATAAAATGGCTCATAAAAGCTATCGAAAATTGTTTGGCTTATTACTATTAGTAAATAGCGATAATAATAATAACAATAAATTGGTGCTCAGTGTCAGGTTAAAGGTCATGATGTTTGCCGAAAGACTAGCGGCCAGTAATGGACGCGAAATCGGGTTCTATTGCTTTGATTTTTTTCCAATGAATAATATGGAGTTTTATCAATATATTAGTACATGTCTTACAAATTATTTTCTATTGTTAAGTGTTATCCAATTGATACCCAATTTAATGATTGATTGATTAATTAGTTTTGTTTCAAAATTTGTTTGTTTGAATTAATTGTATATTTTATTTATCATTTAATTTTTTTAGAAGTTATTTATTTATTGTGTAATATTTTTAAATATTGTATACTATAAAACAAATTGTATATTTTATATCATTATTATTATGTACTAATAAAAGTTAATTATTTATAATTATAATAATTATTAAATATTTAAGCATAATTATCTAGCACAATTGCTATTTATAAATATTAATTATACAACAACTACATAAAAATATATAATTTTAATTAATGTTTTCAAACTTTATTTATAATTAAAATTTATTCTAAATATTATATATATTTTTTTATTGTTAATTGACATTAAATTGTGTATCAATTTAATGATAGATTAATTATCTTATTATTTTTTTTAGATATATAACATATATATAATTTTTTATTAATACAGTAATAAATAAATGTTATAACTCTATTAAATTTATTATAAATTTTAATTATTTTTTTTAAAAAAATTATTGAACTAAACACACTTGTAATACTTTAAATAACTTATATTATACTTTATTTTTATTGTATAAATTATTTAATATAGTTGATTTTAAAAATAAAGTGATATTAATATTAAATTTAAAAAAAAATATTATTAAATATTAATAATTATAAAAAACATTAATCTAACAAAAATTAAAAACTACTATCATATTTGTATATAAAAATTAAATATTTAATATTATTATATTTCAAGGTTAGACTAATTTAGGGTTTGAAAAAATATTTAACTATAGTAGTAGTAGTAATATTGATAAGTACTAGTATATTGCATGCCATAGTCAGTAAGCAATATATAATCAATCAAGTTTCCGTAGTGTAGTGGTTATCACGTGCGCCTCACACGCGCAAGGTCCCCGGTTCGATCCCGGGCGGAAACATTTTTGATTTTTTAGAGTCTAAAATTTAGACTAATAGAGTTAAGAGTAATAGTTTTATTACTTTATAAAGTTTAATAAACATAATAGTATAATAAACAAAATAATATTTTTTTTAATATTAGATTTTTATTTTGTAACATTTTATATACATGTATAATAATTTCAATAATAAAAACAATTAATTATAAAATAATTATTAGTAAATGTTAATTTTTTTTTAATAATAATAAATATATTTA